AGAGCTCTCCCCCAGAGCTCCCCCCCAGAGCTCTCCCCCCAGAGCTCTCTCCCAGAGCTCTCCCCCAGAGCTCTCCCCCAGAGCTCCCCCCAGAGCTCCCCCCAGAGCTCTCCCCCAGAGCTCTCCCCCAGAGCTCTCCCCCAGAGCTCTCCCCCAGAGCTCTCCCCCAGAGCTCTCCCCCAGAGCTCTCCCCAAGAGCTCTCCCCCAGAGCTCTCTCCCAGAGCTCTCTCCCCAGAGCTCCCCCAGAGCTCTCCCAGAGCTCTCCCCCAGAGCTCTCCCCCAGAGCTCTCCCCCAGAGCTCTCCCCCAGAGCTCTCCCCCAGAGCTCTCCCCCAGAGCTCTCCCCTCGAGCTCTCCCCCAGAGCTCTCCCCCGGAGCTCCCCCCCAGAGCTCCCCCCCAGAGCGCTCCCCCAGAGCTCCCCCCCAGAGCTCCCCCCCAGAGCTGGGGGGGGCTACGCGGGCGACTCTGCGCCCGCAAGGGTCGGGGTCGCGCGCGTAACTTTCGCGACGGACGGCTCTCGAATCGCGCTAATGCTGACATATCTGTTTCTGGGACGCACATCACTCACTCAGGCTGACGCCAGCACTCCTTCCCCCCTTGATAGGGGGGAGCGTGGGGGGTAGATCCCTAAACCCTAGAAGCAATGACTCTGGGTGGATGGGGTGGGACAGAACGCATCCATCCATCCCCCCCTACCCTAAACCCTAAACCCTAAACCCTAAACCCTAAACCCTAAACCCTATGAGACGAGAAGTCCTCGGACACCGAACTTGCCATGGACAGGGTTCCAGCTCGCACGCTTGAAGTCCCAACTTTGCGAAATCGACTTTCACGGTTTCCCACCAGTGACGAGGAGCTTCGCCGATGCAGTATCCAGGCTTCATGACCTTGAGCACCTCGCCTTCCTTGACGTTGAATGCGCGTCGTAGCACAGGATCGGGTTCAATGAAGAGGTCCTTCTCGAGCTGGTTCGCCTGAAGAAATGCCGATGTCACGTCGCCTTTGATCAACTTCCAGTGGTTCGCGGCGGCCACGGTCAGCGTGATGTTGCGAGCCCGCCGGGGGGCCGTTCGACTGGCAGTGGGCTCCTTCCCGAGGTCCTTCGTCTGGTAGCCGAGGAGGACGAGCCGCGCCTTAGCCTTCCCGTCCGACTTTCTTGTGAAGAGCCAGCGTGCTCGAATGACATCTGCAGCATCCTGTACTCGTTCGGCTGCACGGGTCGTAGTCCCTGGTGTTGTTGCCAGTTGCCGACCTCCTTCGCGATGGCCACCTCGAACTCCTTCCGTTCCTCGGCGTTCATCTTGGACCAGGTCAGCTCGACTTTGTCCTTGCGGCGCTGGTTGGTCAGGAAGCTATCGGCCATGTTCGGAGCCGCAATCGTCTTGGTGACCTTCTTGCCGTTCTCCTCGCAGAGGTATTCGAAGTAGACCGTCTGGAGCTCGTCGCTGCCGAGAAAGATGTCCAACTTGTCCTTGTACAGGTCCACGTAGAGGTCCATGTCATCATTGGTGTCGTTCCCCTTCTGCCACTTCTCGGGTGGTCGGTGCAGGTCGAGCTCCGGGCCGCGGTGAGTCATTCGATAGCGAGGTCGTGGTTGTGCTGACGATGCCCTTGATGATGAAGATGCCCCGCTCGGTCTCGGTGGAACAGATGCTGCTCGTGCTGCTGGTGCCGCGGGTCCTGGTTCGCCAGGAGGGGGAGCAGGCGGCTCTTCGGCAAGAGGTGCTTCAGCAGGAACTGTGGGTCGCCCTTCCTCCGGTGGAGCTGCAGGTTCGGTTTCAGGCTGAGCTAAAGATCGCGGCGTCGTCGCCTGTGACGCGGCGGGCGCGTCGTTCGCCTCCGCTGAAGGCGGTGGTGCGGCAGGTTCTCCTGAAGCTGGTTCGTCCTGTCTATCGTCAGGTTCGTATTCTCGGAGTCCTGGGCGCTGATGGTCAAGAAGGTCCTCGAACGTCCCCGACTTGGCGGTCTCCAGAATCTCCGTCATCGTCTTCCCAAGGTTGGCTTGCTTCTGCAGCTCGTTGATCATCTTCTCAGCTTCCGATGCGGCTCGGAGTTCTTCGGGGGCACAGCGGATGAGCGTATTGCCATGTGAGATCCAGACCACGGATGTCACCTGGGTCCTGCCGTCCACGTGACGCTTCTCTTGAAGAAGTACTCGAGCGGGTCCGTACCAGCTTCCTTTCTTCCCAGGTCGGTTCTCACGTCCTTTGCCGTCTCGCCAGAAGTAGACCAAGTCCCCTGGGTTCCACAGCTGGTAGACACGGTTCCGGGCGTTCTCAGCATGTCGTCGCCGCTCAGCATATTCGCACTCCAGGTATCTCTTGCGTGCGAGGAGACGTCTCTGCTCCTGGGTCTCCCCAGAGTCGTCGTTGATGATCGCGAACGGGTTGTTCGAGGCCGACATCCCCGACACTCCCAGTACGTGTTCGAAGGGGGAGTGGTTCCCGACCTTGTCCATGGAGTTGATGGCGCTGACTGCCCAGGATACCAGTTCGTCGACTGAGCACTCTGGCTCGTGGTGGGCCATCTTGGTCATCAGGCGCTTGAACAGCTGGATCCTTCTCTCGACCTTGCCCATCAGCCAGTGAGCTTCGCCAGGTGCGATCCACATCTCGATGCCGTTGTCCGATGTCCACTTGGCCACGGCTTGAGAGCAGTGGAAGCCCTCGGCGTCCAGACGTAGGAGAGAAGGTCGGCGATAGTGAGTACACCACGACTCCCAAGTGCTGATCACCTCCTTGGCTGTGCGGTTGCTGTTCCGGTCGCCCTTCTTGCCGTGATACGTGGCGCTGGTGAGTCCAGAGCCTTCGTCCAGGTTCAGCGTCATGGTCGGGAGATAGCCACTCGAGACCATCCGATGCCAGTACTCCAAGCACCCCAGGGATCTCCACTCCCGAGGCCACTCGAACAGCCTTAGGTAGTTTCCCAACATGACAGCCGTGACACTTGAACTCCAGGGCTAACTTGAGGACCTGGGTCGGTGCTCCTGATGCCTTCAGGATCTTGTAGAGCGTCCTGTTGCTGGGATGTCCGAGGTTGCGGTGAAGTCGAGAGAGCCGTTGTTCGATCTCGAGTGTCTCCTTTCTCGAGAGGTCGCTGTCGAGGCCCAAGCCCTTGAGCGTCGTCGCGGCGTCCTCCATCTCGATGTCCTCTGGGTCGTCCTCGGCGTCTGGCATCTCGGTGTCGTCTTCCTCTGGGATCTGCTCAAGACTCGTGAAGATCTCCATGCCGAACTGCGCGCTGTCGTTCTTCTTCAGGATGTGCTTCGCCCAGGCCTTACACAGCGCTGGCGGGTAGTAGGCCGTCTGCGCGACCACGGGACCGTCCTCGATGGCATGATGGTGGTGGTTGTCAGCACGTCCAGGTCGGTCAGAGCAGTGACGGCCCAGCTTCCCGGCGAACTCCGAGTCTGTGGAGCACATGCGCCAGCCCTTCTTCATCAGTAGCCCAGAACGCACGTCTCGGAGTCCATAGGCACACCCATGAATGATCGTCTCGTGCATCTCAGACCGCATCTTCTTGAGAGATGGTGAATGCTTCCAGCTGCGGCTGTTCCATGGCTGCTCCAGGTCGATGTGGCAATCTAGGATCTTCTTGGCTTCCTCGGAGAGCAAGAGGCAGTTGCGCTGAATACGACGGGCCTGACGTATCTTATTCATGAGCTGCTTCCGCTGATCCTCGGTCTTCTGGTTGAGGTTCTGAATCGGACAGTCCGCGGTGCACGGCGGGCTGAGTACCAGACGTCCTGGGCCTGGTCCGACGCAGGAGATGTACAGCTCGTCGGAGTCCAGTTGCGGTTGCCATGTCGTAGCCGTTGAACAAACCACATCGTGCGACCAGGCCACCTTGGGAGAGCACGGCTTGTCCGAGAGCTGACGTCTCGGGGCAGCAGACCCCCATCAAGTCGACGCGCTTCGTCTTCGTAAGTTCGAGCATGTCCGTCGCCACGTTCTGGTAGATCCCCTCATCGATCTTCTCCTTCACCTGGTAGAACTTCTGAAGGTCCGCCATGTCCAGGTGCTTCGGCGAGATCTCTTCTTCATGGCCTCCGGCAGCTCGGAATCGTCCAGCATCGTGTCCTTCTCGTTGGGCAGGAACTCCCATGGGCCCTCGGGGTCCGTCTTGGCCAACTTCGTCGCGAGCCGCCTCCAGCGCATAGCCACGGCTTGGCTCCTGATATCCACCGCCTGCGGGTCCTCGGGCTCCACCATCTTGATGCACTGATGGCTCTTCCCGCCCGTGCAGCTGCAACCCCGCTTGGTCCGATTGGGCGCCCCGCAGCATGCACACTTCGATCTCGGAGGGGCCAGTTGCGCTGGTGTCGGTGGTGGCGACGCGAAGGTCCCCGTCTGTGTTAGCAACCGCGGCGGTGGGATGCTGGCCACGGCAGCCAACATTGCTGGAGGAGGTGGCGGTCCGTAGATGGGCACCAGTCGTAGGCAGTAGTGGCTCTTGCCCCCCACGCAGCTGCATCCGCGCCTCGTCCTCCCTCTCTCGCCACAACATGAACACTTCCCCACTGGGTCGTAAGCCGATGTCGGAGTTGACGGACTGTTGATGGGAGGTGTCTTTGGCAGTGATGGTGTTGGCGTAGGTGGCGCCGCTGTTGAGGTAGCCGTCGAGCTCGCTGGTGCTGATGACGCCTCCGTTGGTGGGGCCCTTGACCGAGGGACTGCCCACGCTGGCCGCGACGCTGGCGGCGGCGGCTGTCCCGATGAGGGCGCCGAAGAAGATTTGCTGCATGACATCCACGGGGTTGGGCCCGCTGTGGCTCGAATATGTAGGATATGAAATGGAAGCTAAACGGCAGTCCACACACGTGGGAGCGCAACATTCTTTGGCCACGCGAGGCTGAGGCTCGGACTTGGTTATCTCTTGGACCTTTCTGAGGCTCTGTTTGGATGGCAGGGTTCCTTTTGGGCTCCCAAGTAGCTCTGACGTAGGAGGTCCACTGCATATGGTCCCAAGAGTTCCCGTTGATCCCGTAAAACACCTAGAGTTAGAACAGCTCGGAGATAGCGTTTTCATCTGTGAAGTTCGGGTCGCGTTCGAAATCGACGACGGTCTTGATCGCCTCGATGTTGGCATCGGTAGCGTACGTGTTCGACTCGTCTCCGCAACTCTCGTAGAACCAGAGGTTTGGCTCGGTGATGAAGTGGTCTCGGACGATGCTGGAGGCTTATCGGAACGGTCTTGTCGACAGGGTCCTCTCGAGGCTTCTGGAGGATCACGTTTGGGCCCCCCCGATGATGAAGATGACGATGGAGATGGAATCTCGCTCGCCGCCGCCACCAGGGGGTGCTGTCCCTAGCGCGCGGCAAGACCGCCAGCGCCGCCCGTGCCGGGCTCCTCCGGCTTCTCGTACAGTACGGCCAGGCCCGCCTCCATCGGATTCTCCGTAGAGCGAGCTGGCGTCAAGGGTAAGGGAACCTCTCTCCACCACTGCGGCGTCGACAGGTTGATCGCCAGGTGCTTGCTGGAGGGCCGCTCGCAGTAGAAGATCTTATTCCCAAGAGTCGGCAAGCCCAGCCAGTTCCGCCCACAGTCCACGACTACCTTCAAGTCGTCAGTCAGGATGTCCATGCCCAGCAGGATGGGGACCCGATTCGCCATCACCGAGAGGCTCACGGGGTACAGGTTGGGGCCCGCAAACACCTTGCCAGTGACCGACCCCATGGAGCTCTTCCGAAGCCCGTTCCCGAAGGTGAAGGAGCAGACCTCGTCCTTCGTCTCGAACTCGACCCCGTGCTGATCCAGCATCTCGTACATCAGGTTCTCCACGCTCTCGATGCCGCCTAAGCTCCGGGTCGCTCCGATGTCCAGGATGGCCCAGATCCCCTCGCGCTCCAGCAAGTAGACGTACTCGTCCAGGGCCGACAGGATGAAGCCGTTGTGGGTGTTGTGGCTATCGCCACTCGTTTTCGTCGTCAGCTTGTTCTTGTTCGGGCAATCCCTGGCGCGATGACCGAACTGACGGCACAGGATGCACTTCATCTTGGCCATGTCACGGCCTGACTCGAATCGCACTCGACGATCGGCTTGACCCCGTCCACGTCCCTTGCCAGGAAGTCGCGGTCGGCTCTCGTGATGAGGCCGAGGGGGTGGTGCCGCCCGCTGGTCCGTCAACTCGCTCTTGGGCACCACCACCGGGTAGAAGTCCCGAGCCACACGTACTTGTCGAAGTAGATCACGAGCGTCCTTGAAGCTCCGTCCTGCCTGTCGAAACTGGGCGTGCACCTCGTTGTCCGCCCCCTGGTCAGCAGCTTCTTCTCCTTCTTCTTCTTCTTCTTCGAAGTCCTCGTCTTCCGCGATGTGGATCAGCTGCTCGACCATCTCGTACAGGTCTTCTGGATCGCCACCAGTCTCGCAGTCGTCCTCGTTGGCGTCGTTCTCGTACAGGGCCTTCTCGCGCTTCGTCTTGCCGTCCAGCTCGGCCAGCGCGTCCGCCGGGAAGCGCGTCAGGAGCGTCCGGTAGGTCCTTGCAAAGTCGAAGTCGCCTCCCGCGGTCGCCGTCACTTCTCCTCGTAGCGCTGGAGCGAGCCGTGACTTCCGAAGGAACCGCCATGTACGAAGCGGATTTGCGATCACCTCCCGGACATTCACGTCGATGGCCTGCAGCTGTGTGAGCAGCTCGCGTTCCTTCTTCTCGAAGCGCGCTGCCCAGTCCTGGAACGTCTCTCCAGCGTTCCGAGATGTCTTCATGAAGAACTCCTCTGCCAGCAGGCCCGTGTCGTTCAAGCTAGTGTAGTCCAGCTTGTCCAGCACGTACTCGAACACAGTGTTCCAGCCCGTGAGGTGGCCGTCTTCGTCCACTGTGTCCACCAGGTCGATCTTCGGGCAGCTCTCCACGGCGCTCCTCGCGCGCGGTCCGAGCGCTCGGACCAGCTGTGGTCCGCGGACGTAGCGGTCGGCCACGCGCACGCTCTTCGCGAACGTGGACACCTCGAAGCGGTAACCGGAGAGCTTGTCGGCCTCCCCGTTCCACGTCGGCGCCTCCACCCTGGAGGTCGTGGAGGCCGCGCCGCTCGACGCCGTGGCGGCGAGACTGGTGGAAGCCCGCGGCGGAACCCACAGGCTCCGCTACCGATCTGAATCCCAAGGAGCCCGAAAGAGGTCCACGACTAGGAAGTCCCGGGCCTCGAGCTCCTCCAAACACAGGGTCGTCAATATGTCAAGAATCTTGACGCTTGACTGTCAGAACTCAGTCAGTGAAATGAAGAGGGCACCCGCTGCCCTCGCACTCTTTCCTGGCACGTCTCCTGAGCGCGCCACTGCCTGCGAACTCGCAGGTTCATCCAAAAAGGAATCCCGCCCGCCCTCGCCTGATCCGAGGTGGCGGCGGCGCACTGCAATGATAACGGTAGCAGCGAGTGAGAATGAAACGCACGAAACAGACTCGATACAACTGCTAGCAACATGCGATACCCTTATCACATTCAGAGGGGGGTGGGGGGGTGGGGGGAGGGGTCAAGTTGCCCCCTCCCCGCCCGCAAGCCGTCTCGCTCACTCCCACCCGCCCTCCCAACACATACGTAGCACCCGAGTCTGGCCCGAGCCTCAGCATATTCAGCAGTCGTCTTGGGATGGGCAGCTACTGGGGGCCAATCCGCCGCCGCCGCCGCCGCCGCCGCCGCCGCCGCCGCCGCCGCCGCCGCCGCCGCCCCGCCGCTGCCAAACCGCCGCCGCCGCAGCCGCTGCCGCTGCCGCCACTGCCCGCCGCAGCCGCCGCCGCCGCCGCCGCCGCCAGCCGCCGCCGCCGCCGCCCCCCGCTGCCAAACCGCCGCCGCCGCCGCAGCCGTTGCCGCTGCCGCCGCGCCGCCGCCCGCCGCCCCCGCGCCGCCGCCGCCGCCCCCGCTGCCAAACGCCGCCGCCCCGCCGCAGCAGCCGCCGCCGCCGCCGCAGCCGCCGCCCGCCGCCGCCGCCGCCCGCCGCCGCCGCCAGCCGCCCGCCCGCCGCCGCCGCCGCCGCCGCCGCAGCCGCCGCAGCCGCCGCCGCCGCCGCAAGTGTACTCTGTATTGTTTTTTGACAGGGATGGGGGGGGGGGCCGCATCGGGTTGGCTGCGCATGTTCCGAATTTGGAGGCAGAGTGTGTTTTGTATTGTTTTTTACAAGGGATGGTGGGGGGGGGTCGGCATGGACCCTGGTTGGCCCCCAGTCGCCTGGGGGAGGGGGTTTAAATAGGGAACAGTGATCAAAACTCCTTCCCCGCCCACAAGCCGTCTCGCTCACTCCCACCCGCCCTCCCAACACATACGTAGCACCCGAGCTTGGCCCGAGCCGCAGCATATGCAGCAGTCGTCTTTGGATGGGCAGCATCTGCCGCCGCCGCCGCCACCGTTGCCGCCGCCGCCGCCGCCGCCGTCCGCCGCCGCCGCGGGCGCAGCCGCCGCCGCCGCCGCCGCTGTCCGCCGCCGCCGCCGCCGCCACCGCGCCGCCCGCGCCGCCGCCGCCGCCGCCGCGCGCCGCCGCCCCCGCTGCGAATCGCCGCCGCCGCCGCCACCGCAGCCGTTGCCGCCACCGCCGCCGCCACCGCCGCCGCCACCGCCGCAGCCGCCGCCGCCGCCTCCGCCGCCACCGTCGCCGCCATCGCCTCAGCCGCCGCAGCCGCTGCCCCCGCCGCAGCCGCCGCAGCCGCCGCCGCAGCCGCCGCCGCCGCCGCCAAGTGTACTCTGTATTGTTTTTTGAATGGGATGGTGTGTGGGGGCCCATCGGGTTCGCTGCGCATGCTCCGAATTTGGAGGCAGAGTGTGTTTTGTAGTGTTTTGTTTACAGGGGATGGTGGGGGTGGGCCCTCATTGTCTCGGGTTGGCTCCCAGTCGGCTGGGGGAAAGGGGTGTATATTAAAATGGAACAGTGGTAAACCCTTCCCCGAAGAGGAAAAGGATGGGTACAAGAGGAACCTACGCCCAAAGGGCTGGTGGGATTTATTGGAGTTCTCCGGAGGTTCACTGGGGCTGACTTGAGTCACTTGAGGCTCTACTGCGGCCAGTTTGGGTGTTTGTTAAGCTCCTCTTGGAGCCGTGTTGGGACACGTTTGGGCCTTCTCAGCCATTGGGACTTCGAATTTTGGACAGAAGCGGCGAAAAGGTGGAAACCATGGACAAATATCATGGAACGTGTGTTTTCGCTGAACTATTTTGGCCCCAGTGTGCAGCCAATTTTGCGGCATTCTGGGCCATGATCACATCAGCAGCGTGTGTGATATTACAAGGGATGACTCCGACCGCGTTGTCCGGCCGTGCGACCAACCGATCGACCGTGCCCCATACACGGTGATGATCTCCAGCCTCCGTAATCTCCTGCATTATCCTTCTTCAACATGCTTTCCCAGATGGTTTATGAAGGACTTGCAGATGCCCGAGTGGCCTCCAGCATTATTCGCAGAACGCTCCCGATACTACGAATTTTTGGCATTCTCCCCTTCCAGTTCAAGAGGGATCCGAGGCAGGCCCCAGTGGCTTCCAAGAAGGCCCACATGACGCTTGCGAGTCCCCGAGACGTTCTTGGGGGCAACGATGGTGTCAGAGATCGCCCCTGGACGGCTCCGCGACTGCCCGGGACCACCCCAAGAGGGCCCCACGACATTTCCGTGCGGGCTCTAGATCCAAGGACCAGAAAGGGTGCCTAAACCACCACCGCAAGCCCCAAGGGCTTCCCAAGTCCTTCGAGAAGATCCCAGGACGGTCCCGGCCCTTTCCAAGTCTTCTTCGTCACGTGCGCGCGCGTGACCGGGAAAACTTGGAAAGCTCCTGGGCGCGCGTGCCAGTTCTTCGGGCGATCTTCGTGCCGTCCTGGGCCATCTGGAGGCCAGCGAAGACATCCGAAGGAGTCGGCGAGGATTTTGTCGTCCTGCAAGTCGAATTCTCGAATTAGGGGGCACGAGGGAATGGGGAGCAGCCAAGATGTCACACGCCTTACCTCCTCTAGCAAACTGGGGCCACTTTTTTATGATAGTTGCATGTCGTGATCCTGATATGTATGCAAAGGCTAAACACCTGTGAACATGTTGTGGCGAGTAAGTGTTGCGCTGTCTTCTTTCTGTTCCTGTGCATCTATGTTTTTATGCAAACCTCGAGACCTTGCACGACGCCATGAAACTGCGCACCAAGTGGCACACACGTTTGCAAGCTGCCCGTTTCAATTTTACTGCCCGCTTGTGCCTACTGAGTAAGTCTCTGCGCGTGCGCGTGTGCATGCCCCACTTTCCCACCAACGAGGGTCTCACGCGTGTGTTTCCAATGGCGAGAGTGATCGCGTTGAACTCGCAGAAGTTCAGCACAACCTGCAAGTGCTGCATCGCCTCTCTCAGACGCATCGGTGTGTGTGTGTGTGTGTGTGTCAGTTCAAGCAGTGCGCGCTGTTTTGGCAGCGCTCTGATACAGTCAACCCGCATAGTAAGGATGATCGCGACTTGCCAAGGTTGCCCTTGCATGCTTCTACTTCGGCCCATCCTTGGCCGCTCTCGTTGGCCGCATCCCGCTCGCAACGTGTCGACATGGCCATCCATGGCCCTTGCATCCCTACCGAGCATCTTTTGTACGGTTGACGGTACTTTGTCCTGCGACCATTTGCCAGGGAGAAGTTTGGAACATGATTCAGTAACGGCGGCCTCGGAGGAAACGGCAGGCGGAGCAGCGTGCATCGCGACTGCACGCCCGCAGATTTTTAAATCGGCTCTCTGCGGCTTCGCGCTCGGTGTTCCTTCACGCCAACTGCGCGATGATGTCGCCCCTATGGTGAAAGCATGGACTTCGCTCTGGGCAATTCACAGCCGCATGCTCTCCAGTGACCAGATCCTTGGTATCGATATACATGTATGTATGCGTGTCTATGTATATGTAATGACAGGTTTGCGGTGTTGATCACCCGCAACTTGGCAGTAGGTCTGCTTCCTGATCATCCATGTTGTGGTGTAATAGGTCGATCGTTTTTGCCGATGTCATCTTCGAAGCGACTTTGACGCTTGTGCCCCTCCTTATTCGATTCTTCGGGCGCCGTGTGGCTGCAAAGGGTCGATACCTGTGTCAGATGCCTGCCAGGTTCTCTGTTTCCGAAACCAGCCCCTGCACATCTACTCCTTTGTCCCCTCCTCCGTCTTCTCTTCTACTTCCGCCTCTAGCATCCTGTTGCCAACGTTCAATCGTTGCCGAACGGCTATGTCCTACCATCGAGTGATGGCGTGTCGGGATCCGAGATCGCAACAGGGGTTTGAGATCATGCGGTGTACGTCAAAGGTAGTCGTGTTGACCTGTTAGCGAGACTTTGGCATGCGTCGGTCCTGCCTGGAGACACCTGATGGGCTCATGAAGAGCCCTGCGGCAGGTCAGAGGCCTTGGGTGTGTTGGAACTCTTGTTGGTGGTCCTGAAGCTGCCTTGAACACGACTTCAGTCGTATTCGGCGAGGTCTTGAGCTGGTCGTCGGTCGTCCGAGGACCAGCCGAACGCGATTTTGCGGGCTCGCGAGCCCGCTGGGGGGGATGACGGAGGGCGAGGTGTCAATGACGGTAGGATTATACTACTTTGTGTTGGACTGTACACGACTTCGAGCCATTGTACCAGACGTGCATATTTACACGACTCTGTGGTTGGGGAAAAGCACTGCGCTGCAGTGATCCTTTCATCGAAGGATTTTACTACAGTGCACAGATCTTGTCGACCGCTTCCAAACGCACTGTCAGACCAACATCCCGCAGAGCGTGCAGTGGACGGCCATCGCAAGACACAGCACATCCAGAGCGGGTGGAAGCAGCGCGGCGCCTGATAATGGCAAAGCGCCAGTGCCGAGCATGGCATCACTCTCCTGGCTTACTACGGAGGCCCTCAATCAAAGGCAGTTGACGTCTCCTGGGTGGCGTCTCCCCGCAAGCCCTCCGCCAGCTCGCGCCGCCAGAGTCGCCCTCGCCCGGCTTCCGCCTGCTTCCGCGCGCCTTCCGCTGGCCTCCTCGGGGGGCACCGAGGTCAATCCCTCGACCCCGCAAAGACGAGGCCTTTGCTTCAGCTCCTTTCCTGCCTTTTCCTCCACATATCTGCGGTCTGTTCTGCTCAGCTTTGTCAGTTATTTGATGCTCCTATCTGGGCCTCTCCTTTGCGCGCCCGGTGGAGGTCTGGAGCTTCTCCGCGCTTCATGGCCGCTGCTGGGTTCCGTTTTTCCCTGCCTGGGAGGAGGCAGAACTTGTGGCATGGCAGCGGTGTGCGCCCTTCTCTTCTTTGAGGGCCATGGGTTTCGGTTGTTCGATTATGGTTTGTTTTGCGTGTGCGTGTGCGTTTGCGTGTGCGTTTGCGTGTGGTATTGTAGTCGTAGTCGTAGTCGTAGTCGTAGTCGTAGTCGTAGTCGTAGTCGTAGTAGTAGTAGTAGTAGTAGTAGTAGTAGTAGTAGTAGTAGTAGTAGTAGTAGTAGTAGTAGTAGTAGTAGTAGTAGAGTAGTAGTAGTAGGAGATGTAGTAGTGTAGTAGATAGAATAGTAAGGAGGAGTATTTCGTATAATTAGTAGTAGTAGAGTAGTAGTGAAGTGTAGGAGTTAGTAGTTAGTAGTAGCTAGTAGTAGTAGGTAGTAGTAGTTTAGTCGGAGTAGTAGTAAGTAGTAGTAGTAGCATAGTAGTAGTAGTTAGTAATCGTAGTAGTAGTGAGTAGTAGTAGTAGTAGTAGTAAATAATAGTAGTAGTAGTAGTAGTGAGTAGTAGTAGTAGTAGTAGTAGTAGTCGTAGCATTAGCAGTAGTAGTAGTAGCTAGGAGCGTAGTAGTAGTAGTAGTAGTAGTAGCTAGTAGTAGTAGTAGTAGTAGTAGGCGTAAGTAGTAGTAGTGGTAGTAGTAGTAGTAGTAGTAGCAGTAGTCGTAGTAGGTAGAGTAGAGTAGTAGCGTAGTAGTAGTAGTTAGTAGTAGTACGTTAGTCGTAGTAACAGTACGTAGTCGTAGTCGTAGTCGTAGCGTAGTCGTAGTAGTCGTAGTAGTCGGAGTAGTCGTAGTAGTAGCTAGTAGTAGTAGTTCGTAGTTAGTAGTCAGTAGTAGTAAGTCGTAGTAGTAGTAGTAGTAGTGGAGTAGTAGTAGCAGTCGCATAGTGTGGTGGTTAGTAGTTAGGCGTTATAGTAGTAGTAGTAGTAGTAGTAGTAGTAGTCGTAGTAGTAGTCAGTAGTAGTAGTAGTAGTAGTAGGAGAATAGTAGTAGTCGGTATAGTAGTAGTAGTAGTAGTAGTAGTAGCTAGTATAGTAGTAGTGGAGTAGTTTTAGTAGGTAGTCGTAGTCGTAGTAGTAGTAGTAGTCGAGTAGTAGTAGTAGTAGTAGTAGTAGTAGTAGTAGTTAGTGTCAGGACTAGTGTAGCTAGTAGTAGTAGTAATAGTAATGTGATCGTAGTAGTTAGTAGTAGTAGTTAGTAGTTAGTAGTGTAGTAGTAGGTAGTAGTAGTAGTCGTAGTAGTAGTAGTAGTAGTAGTAGTAGTAGTAGTAGTAGTAGTAGTAGTAGTATTAGTAGTAGTAGTAGTAGTAGTAGTTGTTGTTGTTGTTGTTGTTGTTGGTGGTGTTCTGGTTGTTGTAGTCGTAGTCGTAATCGTAGTCGTAGTAGCTGTTGTTGTTCTTGTTAATTTGTTGGTGTTGTGGTTGTTCTTGTGTGTGTTGCTATTTGTGTTGCGGTTGTTGTGGTCGTTGTTGTGGTTGTGGTTGTGGTTGTTGTCGGTGTCGTTTGTGTTGTTGTTGTTCTTGTGGTTGCCGTTTTTGATACGGTGGTTGTTGTTGTTGTTGCTGTTGCTGTTGCTGCTGTGGGTGCTGCTGCTGTAGAACTCCCATTTCTAAAATATGGTTGATCCGCCCTTTGGTAATCATTCCATTTTCCAATTGCAAAATTTTTCCTGGGGCTCGCATCTGTTTTTTTTCAATGGGAAGCGAGGTGCCACCAAACTGGACCCCTGGCCCAGAGTTTACAACAGCAGCGGCTCCCGCCTGATACTTCCCCACCATTTATTTGAACATCGCGCTCTCGCGCGGGACTTTTTTGAACATCGGCGCTCGCATTTTGTTTTTATCAGGGAAGGTCTTCGTCCTCAAACTGTGTTGTGGGTCCCCAGGTTACAACAACAACGGCTCCCGTTTGAGACCTCTCCTCGATTTAGCCAGGACCCCCTCTCTCGCCTGAGACTTCCTCGCATTTTATTTGGAGTCGCGCTCTCGCATGGGACTTCCTTATTTAGGTATCGGTCTATCGGCGCTCTGAAGTCGCGCTCTCGCGACTTCATAGAGCCGATATAATCTACTCAAACATAACGCCCTTGTGTTGAAATTTCCAGCAATTTACTCAAGCGCCGCGCTCCCGACACTCAGGCACCCAGGAGTCGCGCTCACGCTTATTTTGGAATCGGGATCTCGCTGCACTTCGTGTCCCCCTTGCTGTGATTCGTGGGCCCGTTGCAGCCCTTGGTGGCCCCCTCGCTGCCCGTCCTGGCCCCGTTGCAGCCCTTTGTGGCCCCCTCGCTGCCCTTCGTGGCCCCGTTTCAGCAATTCGTGGCCCCCTCGCTGCCCCTCGTGGCCCCGTTGCAGCCTTTCGTGGCCCCCTCGCTGCCTTTCGTGGCCCCGTTTCAGCCCCTCGTGGCCCCCTCGCTGCCCTTCGTGGCCCCGTTGCACCCCTTCGTGCCCCCCTCGCTGCTCTCCGTGGCCCCGTTGCAGCCCCTCGTGGCTCCCTCGCTGCCCTTCCTGGCCCCGTTGCAGCCCTTGGTGGCCCCCTCGCTGCCCTTCGTGGCCCCGTTGCAGCCCTTCGTGGTCCCCTCGCTGCCCTTCGTGGCCCCATGTATGCATGCCCTTCGTGTCCCCCGCTCGTTCGCGCCCGTCGTGGTGGCCCCATATGCATGCCCTTCGTGGTCCCGCTGTCGCCCTTCGTGGCTTCCTCGCTGCTCTTCGTGGCCCCGTTGCCGCCCTCAGTGGCCCCGTCCTTGCCCTCCGCGGCCCAATATACGTATGCCCTTCGTGGCCCCCGCTTGTTTGCGCCCGTCGTGGCCCCATGTCCTTGCCCTTCGTGGCCCCACTGTCGCCGTTTGTGGCTTCCTCGCTGTCCTACGTGGCCCAGTTGCTACCCTCAGTGGCCCCGTCGTTGCCTTCTGTGGCCCCGCATTATCTGCCCTTCGTGGCCACCGCTCGTTCGCGCTCCATTTGGTCCATACGCATTCCCTTCGTGTCCCCGCTGTCGCCCTTCGTGGCCTACTTCGTGCCCTTCGTGGCCCTGCTGTCGTTCTCTCTCTCGCTCTCGCTTTCGCTCGTCGTCGTTGTCGTCGTCGTCGTCGTCGTCGTCGTCGTCGTCGTCGTCGTCGTGGTCGGTCCCCTGTCCGTCCCTCTTGGGATCGGGTTGCTGCCGATCAGCGCTGCCGCCGGCCAGGCCGTCGGTCCGCGGCCGCCCCGCCGCTTGCCGGGGCCCAGCCTGCAGGGAAGAAAGGTATACCCCCCAAAAGGGGTACGATCGAAGACGAAGAGGGCGGGTATCGAGGGTTTGGGAAATACGCGCTAACAGTCTTAAACTGATTGTTGTGGTTGTTGTGGTTGTTTTTCTGTTTGTTGTTTTTCCCTCACCTAGGCTCTGCCTAGAAGGGTTCGTATTCGGTTTGCTTAAAGGGCCGGGCAGTGGACCTCGCTCCAGGCGGTTACCCCAGGATCCGCCCCGCGGTTCCCCCAGTCCCCTGGGAGCTTTAGCTTTAGCTGTAGCTTTAGCTTTAGCTTTAGCTTTAGCTTTAGCTTTAGCTTCACTTTAGCTTAGCTTTAGCTTATCTTTCGTAGCTTTAGCTTAGCTTTATCATAGCTTTAGCTTAGCTTCAGCTGAGCTTTACCGTAGCTTTACCTTAGCTTTAGCTTAGCGTTAGCTCAGCTTTAGCTTAACTTTAGCTTAGCTTTAGCTTAGTTTTAGCTTAGCTTTAGCTTAGCTTCAGCTGAGCTTTACCATAGCTGTAGCTTAGCTGTAGCTTAGCTTTATCTTAGCTTCAGCTTAGCATTAGCTTAGCTTCAGCTTAGCTTCAGCTTAGCTTTAGCTTAGCTTCAGCTTAGCTGTACCTTAGCCTTAGCTGAGTTTTAGCTCAGCTTTAATTCAGCTCTAGCTTAGCTTTATCTTAGCTCTAGCTGAGCTTCAGCTGAGCTTTAGCTTAACTTTAACTTAGCTTTACTGTTACTACTAATGCTGCTTTCCTAGGGGCTCCAACTCCTAGGTAGGTTCGCACTGGGATAATTTTGTTGTGTGTTGTTGTGGTTGTTGGTGATGCTCTTGTTGCTGCTGCTGCTGTTGTTGTTGTTGTGGTTGTTGTTGTTGTTGGTGTTGTTGCTGCTGCTGCTGTTGTTGTTGTTGTTGTTGTTGTTGTTGTTGTTGTTGTGGTTGTTGTTGTTGTTGTTGTTGTTGTTGTTGAACACTATTACTTCTAAAGAATTATTATTGTTGGACCCCCTGGTGCACGGCCCCCGCCCAAAACCTAGGCCGCAGCTACATTTTCATCATTTTTCTGCGAAAGCTTCAGAAAAGTGGATTACCCCCGGATCCGGTTTTTTGTTGACGCTCGTTTTCCCTTGCAAAAAACAATAGAAAATGAAAATTCTTGTTCTTAGTTGATCAAATTTCAAGAATCCCTTGCAAAAAACAAGGTAAAGTGGACATTCGCGCTCGCAAGACGAAATCCTTCCAAAACCTTAGGTTTCGTAGCGATTTTAACATAAAAACATCAAAAACCCAATGGTTTTTAAGAAAAAATGTCAAAATGTCCTTCCGCGCGCTCTTGCGGATTCATAGGAAACACACCACTTTTTAAACATTTCTGTCAAAAGGGTCTTTGCGTGCTACTTCTTCAGGTGCTTTGAACTTCTCCAACAACGGTTGCGCGCCTGCGAGGGCCACCATCCCTTGCAAAAAATGAGACGAAGTGCACATGCGCGCGGCCGCCGCGCGCGCATGTCGAAATCCTGCCAAACACAATGGGTTTTCAATAATTTCAAGATGCGATGTTCAGAAAACATATGAAAACGCACTACTTTCTCATCCGAAAAATCTCGAAATCCATTCGCGGTCTCTTGATGAATCTTTAAAACCCAATTTGAGCGGTCCTACTCTCATGTATTGCTGTATCCACCGCAGCCGGCAGCCATGGTGAACTATGACGGGCGGCAAGGCAACTTTTCCTCCAGGATGTAT